CTGGAGCAAATAGTAACTACCCTGGCCCACACTTGGGATATGCACCTGTGCAGCTATATCAGAAGGAGGCCACAGATTGCTGGAATCAGGGCTAATTTCCAGTGTCAGCCAGGTTGCAAGCAAGCTACTTCCCCTTACTTACTTGACATTCCATTATCCATTGGGCAATGAATAACCCAGTAGCTCCCCCAAGTGGATCGTTACACTGTATCACCAACAAGCTGGACTAGGTTCACTTTGTATTTCTCATTTCCTCTATGCTTGGATGCAATGCACTGCTTGGGCCTTTTATTGACTCTGTTACTTTTCACTTTATTTTAATTAATTTATTTTTAGGTGTAGAAAAATAAACAAGCTAACACTGGGGGGAAAAAAGCCACTCTCTTATGGGGAAGTGTAATTTTCATTTCAGCAAATTACAGGATCAAAATTAAACTGTGTGGGGGTGAGGGAGATTTTATTTTTTGGCTGAAACAACATTTCTTCATTGAATTACTTATTTTTTACTGAGATTAAAATACAAGAAGAGTAATAAACTACTTCTAATGGCTACTCTTACTTCAGTACTTCATAGTTATGGCAAATAGTTGATGCTCTGGAGACAGGGCTATGTTAATAAAAAGCTTCCCAGAGTAAACTGCATGTGACTTGTACGCTGTTCATCTGCCATTTTTTGGCCCCCAGCAGAGTGCTATGCCAAAGGCCTGCCTCTGCAAACAGTATCTGCAGAGCAACAGCACTTCCTTCTCAGTCCTCCCCTCGGTGCTCCTCCAAACCAGTGGTTTTTTGTTTTGGCTAGTGCCATTTGGAGTTCTAATATTTATCCGCCCCTCCTGATTTAGTTGGGGATTGGTCCTGCTTTGAACAGGGGGTTGGACCAGATGATCTCCTGAGGTCCCTTCCAACCCTGATATTCTAGAATCTGGTCCAATCCCCAACTAAATCATCCCAGCCAGGGCTTTGTCAAGCCTGACCTTAAAAACCTCTAAGGAAGGAGATTCCACCACCTCCCTAGGTAACCCATTCCAGTGCTTCACCACCCTCCTAGTGAAATAGTATTTCCTAATATCCAACCTAAACCTCCCCCACTGCAACTTGAGATCATTACTCCCTGTTCTGTCATCTGGTACCACTGAGAACAGTCTAGATCCATCCTCTTTGGAACCCCCTTTCAGGTAGGTGAAAGCAGCTATCAAATCCCCCCTCATTCTTCTCTTCTGCAGACTAAAGAATCCCAGTTCCCTCAGCCTCTCCTCATAAATCATGTGCTCCAGCCCCCTAATCATTTTTGTTGCCCTCCACTGGACTCTTTCCAATTTTTCCACATCCTTCTTGTAGCGTGGGGCCCAAAACTGGACACAGTACTCCAGATGAGGCCTCACCAATGCCAAATAGAGGGGAATGATCACATCCCTCAATCTGTTGGCAATGCCCCTACTTATACAGCCCAAAAGGCCATTAGCCTTCTTGGCAACAAGGGCACACTGTTGACTCATATCCAGTTTCTTGTCCACTGTAACCCCTAGGTCCTTTTCTGCAGAACTGCTGCCTAGCCACTTGGTCCCTAGTCTGTAGCAGTGCATGGGATTCTTCCTTCCGAAGTACAGGACTCTGCACTTGTCCTTGTTGAACTTCATCAAATTTCTTTTGGCCCAATCCTCTACTTTGTCTAGGTCTCTCTGTATCCCATTCCTACCCTCCAGCGTATCTACCACTCCTCCCAGTTTAGTGTCATCCGCAAACTTGCTGAGTTTGCAATCCATGCCATCCTCCAGATCATAACTGAAGATATTGAACAAAACCGGCCCCAGGACTGATCCTTGGGGCACTCCGCTTGATACTGGTTGCTAACTAGACATGGAGCCATTGATCACTATCCATTGAGCCCGACTATCTAGCCAGCTTTCTATCCACCTTATAGTCTATTCATCCAGCCCATACGTCTTCAGCTTACTGGCAAGAATACTGTGGGAGACCAGATCAAAAGCTTTGCTAAAGTCGAGGAATAACACGTCCACTGCTTTCCCCTCATCCACAGACCCAATTATCTCGTCATAGAAGGCAATTAGGTTAAGTCAGGCATGACTTGCCCTTGGTGACTCCATGCTGACTGTTCCTGATCACTTTCCTCTCCTCTAAGTACTTCAAAATTGATTCCTTGAGGACCTGTTCCATGATTTTTCCAGGGACTGAGGTGAGGCTGACTGGCCTGTAGTTCCCAGGATCCTCCTCCTTCCCTTTTTTAAAGATGGGTACTACATTAGCCTTTTTCCAGTCATCCGGGACCTCCCCCGATCGCCATGAGTTTTCAAACACAATGGCCAATGGCTCTGCAATCACATCCTCCAACTCCTTTAGCACCCTCGGATGCAGTGCATCTGGCTCCATGGACTTGTGCTCGTCCAGCTTTTCTAAATAATCCTGAACCACTTCTTTCTCCACAGAGGGCTGGTCACTTCCTCCCCATAGTGTGCTGCTCAGTGCAGTAGTCTGGGAGTTGACCTTGTTCATGAAGACAGAGGCAAAAAAAGCATTGAGTACATTAGCTTTTTCCACATCTTTTGTCACTAGGTTGCCTGCCCCATTCAGTAAGGGGCCCACACTTTCCCTGACCACCTTCTTTTTGCTAACATACCTGTAGAAACCCTTCTTGTTACTCTTAACATCCCTTGCTAGCTGCAACTCCAAGTGTGATTTGGCCTTCCTGAGTTCACTCCTGCATGCCTGAGCAATATTTTTATCCTCCTCCCTGGTCATTTGTGCAATCTTCCACTTCTTGTAAGCTTCTTTTTTGTGTTTAAGATCAGCAAGGATTTCACTGTTAAGCCAAGCTGGTTGCCTGCCATATTTACTATTCTTTCTACACACTGGGATGGTTTGTTCCTGCAACCTCAATAAGGATTCTTTAAAATACAGCCAGCTCTGTTCTCTTTGTATTCTGTGTTGTAATTGAAATCAATATATTTGAAAATGTAGAAAACATCCAAAAATATTTAAATAAATGGTATTCTACTATTGTTTAACAGTGCGATTAATCGTGCAATTAATTTTTTTAATTGCGTGACAGCCCTATTTAAAACATAAACCTGTTTAAAATTAAATTAGAAAATGTCTACCTATGTTAAGGCCTAAACTTATTGTCATCCATTAAAATCATTTAAATTAAATTTAAAAAATACTAAATAGTGCATGCTTTAAAGAAAGTTCCACCAGTTTTAGTGATTTGAGTTACTGGCTAAGCATCTGGAACCAGAGTTTTAACTTGCCAGCAAGTTAAAGTAGTATGGATCGGATGAATGGACTATAAGGTGGATAAGAAAGCTGGCTAGATCATCGGGCTCAACGGGTAGTGATCAATGGCACCATGTCTAGTTGGCAACCGGTATCAAGCAGAGTGCCCCAAGGGTCAGTCCTGGGGCTGGTTTTGTTCAATATCTTCATTAATGATCTGGAGGATGGCGTGGATTGCAAACTCAGCAAGTTTGCAGATGACACTAAACTGGGAGGAGTGGTAGATACGCTGGAGGGTAGGGATAGGATACAGAGGGACCTAGACAAATTAGAGGATTGGGCCAAAAGAAATCTGATGTGGTTCAACAAGGACAAGTGCAGAGTCCTGCACTTCGGAAGGAAGTGTTTCCTTGTTATTTATTAAGCGCAAAAGAAAATCCAGTTTTAATGTATGGTTGAGGTTTCAAGCTCAAGCAGACGAGTGAGGATTAGTGTGTTAGGGTTTTATAGTTGAAACTGCTCTGCAGACTTAACTGTTGTGGACACTACTACGAAGTACTCATTAAAATAACTGCTTTATAGACTTCTTATCCCAACATAACATCTAATTTACACCTGCCAGGGTTCCCCCGCCCACTCTGAACTCTGGGGTACAGATGTGGGGACCCACATGAAAGACTCCCTAAGCTTATATTCTACCAGCTTAGGTTAAAACTTCACCAAGGCACAAATTCCTTTCCTTGTTCTTGGACGGTATAGCTACCACCACCAAATGATTTACACAAAAATTCAGGGAAGAGTCACTTGGAATCCCTATCCCCCCAAAATATCCCCCCAAGCCCCTTCACCCCCTTTCCTGGGGAGGCTTGAGAATAATATACCAACCAACTGCCTTAGCAATGAGGGCACAGACCAGACCCTTTGTCTTCAGGACACTGAAAATCAATCAGGTTCTTAAAAGAAGAACTTTATTATAAAGAAAAAAGTAAAAGAATCACACCTGCAAAACCAGGATGGAAGGTAACTTTACAGGGTAATAAAAAGATTTAAAACAGAGGATTCCCCACTAGGCTCTTCTTCACAGTTAGAAAAACAGAAATAAAACTACCTCTGTAGCATAGGAAAATTCATACGCTAAAACAAAAGATAACCTAACGCATTTCCTTGCCTTACTTACAATGTCTGTAATTTTAGATGTATTATTCCAGGTATATTCTCAGGAGATGTTGTACCTGCTTGGCTTCTCCCTCCGTCCGGAGAGAGGAACAAACAAAGAACAACAAACAAATCCTTCCCCTCAGATTTGAAAGTATCTTCTTTCCATATTGATCCTTCTGGTCATGTGCCAGCTAGGTTATTGAACTGTTTAACCCCTTACAGGTAAGGCAATTCAGTACAGCTGCCAAGGAGGGATTTTATGCTACTCTTTCCTCTATATTTATGACAACACCACATAACATTTGTTTGCATTACGTGGATATCCATGTAGGCTCTTGGAAAGGGTTTGGAAAATGGTCAGTATTTCAGAGGTACCTCTATCTGCCATGTAACTCATTTAACATAATTTATTCACATAATAGAAGAGCTGAAAAGACTTTAAAATCTGGGTTAAACCAGAACCTTGTAGAATGCATGAAACTTTTGTTTAAAAAATAAAAAAAAATAAAAAAAAGGTAATTAAAATTGTAGAGACAGCAATTTGTAATTCAGCCTGTCCCAGGTGGCAAACCAGTCTTGTCCTGAGGACACTCTTCTTTAGCTATCCTTACCTCTGCTCCTTCTGGAGAGCCTCTGCATGCTGCTTGTTCTCATGCTGCCACATTTGCAGTTCGTTCTTCATGGAGTCCATGTCCTCCTGAATGTAGTCCATGATTTTCCCAAGAGGAAGTGCACTCCGACACAGTGTCTGAATAGATGCACGAAACTTCTCTATTTCTTTTGATACTAGGTCCTTCTCCTTTCTCCTGGCTGCTTCTGACAAAAGCGGCTTCTCCTAATTTAATTGAGTAAAAAAAACAACAACAAAAACACAGGGAAAACATGAAGTCAAGAAAGGCCCTGAACATTTTAAAGAGGTGAACTAAAAAGAATGTTAAAAACAGGAAGCTGTGCATTGTAAAGGGGATGTTTAAGACTGACTGCAATGAAGCTATAAAGCCAAAGCAGTATTCTAGAAGAGGTCAGCAATATCACCTCTTCATTGAAAAGTGCTGGTCACAGAACCATGTAGTAACAGTAGTAGCCACATTAAAACAGAATGATTTCAAGATCATTCAAGGCAAAAAAGTGCAAGTTAAATTACAAGTGCAAATTCACTTTTGGCAATGCATAGTTTACGTGACATCATACAAAGATGAAGCTCAACGGAAAAAAGAAGGCCTCATTTAATCTGAATCTTGAATCTATATGTAAAGAGGCAACATCTCTACTGCCCAAACTGAACTACTGAAGACACTATCCCCCCAGGATTCTCACTGTGGCAGAGCTCCCCTAATTCATAAAGATTTGTTTTGTAACCCTTGAGGGCAATGGTAACAGGGTGAGTACAAACCAGGCACCCCACTGCAGAGTGCAATTGTTGCCCAAACATTCCAATCTGTTCCTTCAACTGTGTGGGTGGCCATTTGCCCAGAAAGAAAAGCCCATTCAGAAGGATCAGTGGAATATCAAAAGCGTTTGAGAGAAAAATCTGTAAAAAGGCTAGTGTCGAATTCTGACAGGAGGTGAGTGAGATTCCTGCAAGATGGAATCTTCAGAATCCATGTGGCTAGTCTTCTCTTTAGCTAGGACCCTCTCACCACCAGCTTCTCATGGGGAGGGTGTTAAACAGTTTAAGCAGCGTTCTTGGGAAGGTTTCAGAGTAGCAGCCGTGTTAGTCTGTATCCGCAAAAAGAACAGGAGTACTTGTGGCACCTTAGAGACTAACAAATTTATTAGAGCATAAGCTTTCGTGGGCTACAACCCACTTCTTCGGATGCATA